CACCACCTCTGGTGTGGACGTTCTCAAACAAATTCCTGTAAATGCTTCTGAGCGTTGCATCATAAATTTGCGGTGAAAATCTGCTCAGCTTGCACAATAAAAGTAAAGCCCTGAATGCATGAGTTAAAACGAAGAGCTGAAATTTAGTTTGGTTTGGTTGGCTGCAGCTGATATCTTTTGGGATGATGTGTAACAGGTAACCAGCTGGTGCTCTGAAAGGAACGCCAGCAACACATTTCAGAACCGTTGGAAGACGGGAGCAGCTTACCACCACACCACTCCTCTGTTTGCCAGAGTGCTTTTTGGTATTGATTACCAAGTAGCCAATAACCAATTTGCTTCATTTAAAAAATATATAGTTTAGGGCTTCTTTAGTTTCATAAAGTATTAACAGTTTCTTTAGATTGAACGTGGAGGTAAGCCGTAGATACAGATTCTTTCAATAGGAAGGTTTTCTGCTGTAACGTACTAGATTTGGCATTTTGTTGGTGACAAACTCAAATGTCAGACAATCGTATGCTGTCTGGTGACCATCGTGCGTTGCTCCAACACATGTTTTTGCTCAGCATAGCATGATCACAGTTGTATAAATTAACATACCATTAGCTCTCATGCACTCTCCAAACCATTATAGATGCTGGCCATTGAGCGGTGCGTTGACCGAAACCCAGATGGCCCATTTTTCTCTACCCTCCTCATGTTATGTAAAGAGAAATATCAGTTTTTCACTTAAGCTCAGTTCAAGCTCAAGTCATCATAAATTCAAAATAAAAGCTTATTATTATGTAAATGTCTATCTATTATATATTTGGCTACATTAGAATAACTGTGGTATTTACAGGTGCATAATAGGCCAAAATGAGTTTACTTGCTGTTTTAAAAAGCTGTATTTGGTTTGTTTTGCAGTAATGGAAACAGCAAAAGTCTACACAGATACCATGTTTTTACATGTGACTTAATTTTAAACCCTTCTGTGGCATTGATCAGCAAGTTAGTTGTTGGTTAAATATTTAGTCTTTGAGTTAAAGATAATTTTGAAGATGATTGTTACCTTGTTTTAAATAACGGCACACAGTAATGTAGGAAAGGAAACATCTGAATAATTACCTGTTCCTGAATTTAATGATATTTTGTAGGGTACTTATTTAATTTTTGTTTTTTAAAAAACAAAAAGAAATTCTGTGGAAATCATTAAACTTTGTGGCTCAGAGATGAAGTTAGAAATGTTGATTGTGCTGCTGTCAGAGCTCAAAAGTACAACATGGCAGGGTGTGTTTTTGCTCTTAAGTAGGTCATGCCAGGTTACGACCTCCCACTGTGAATGTGATGAACGATCTAGTGATTAATGTCCTAAATGGCACACACAGGATTGATCTTACCCATGGAAAATAAAAGGCTGTGGGATTGTAGTGGAGGAAAGGCAGGTTGTAGACGTATAACAAGATTGTTCTCTGACACCTGGAACATGAATAAGGATTAAACTGTATGAGAGTGCTTTACACAAGAAGGAAAAATAGATCCTCAAAGGAACTGTGGAGACAGAATGAGAGGATGAAATGAGGGGGAGGGCAAGAGGAGAATGATGTAATGCAGTTCTCCAGGCAGCCAGTGAATTTCCAATCAGGTTGATTAGAGGAACGCCAGCCATGTCACTGACAGCCAAGGACTGTGTTACTAGCAGTCAGTAATAAGTCAACCAGACAGTCGGGCAGGCAGAGGACAAGCCAGACCGAGTGTCCTAAAGAGGACAATTTTCACCATCAGCTGCACCGTCAGTCACATTCATACGTTCAATCCCAGCTGTAATTAAAGTGAAGCGTGTCCAATATTGATTCTGTCCATTTTAGAGTGCCCTCATTTCAGTAATAATTCATACAAACTCTATAATGAAGTAAAATGTTTGACCGGTCAATAAAGACGCACATGTTCCATTTAATATTTGCTGGGGCTATTTTTATCAGAGGCAGAAACACTCGGCTTTGTTTTTAAAAATAGGTTGTTATTACTGTCTTTATCACCAGTTTAGTTTTGCTGTTAAAGGTTTGCAAAAGATGTCTTGACTGTAGTAGTTAAACAGGTTTATTGACAAAATGAGTTTCTGGGTGAAGCTTTTTGTTTCTTCTCTTTTTGAAGCCAAACCCTACAATGCGCTATCAACATTTTCACACTCAAATATTTATATTTTTTTCCATTTTGAGCTAAATATCTGCTACAGATTAGGGCAAAAAGCCACTTTGCCTGTTGATTTCTGTACGGTACACCTAATATATTTTGAAGTAGGTACTTCAGAATTAGTTTGATGCTGTTAGTATAGACAATCAACCAACAGGCTTTCAATCTTTGAGGGGAAAAAAGTAAATATTTTAAAGTGTGTTGGCTACCCAGAAATCTTGGGATGCCAGATAGTCAGTTCTGTCCAAATGTATGGCTTTTCGATAACAAATAAGAGTTTGCAGGTGGTAATTTAAAAGTAATAATGATTTTTTTTAATGCCACAAATCACTCCACCATCTGTCAATCTTCTGTTGGTTTTGGAGTTGGGTCACAGGGGCAGCAGTTTGAGCAGGGAGGCCCAGCCACCTCTTACATCTCTTCTGGGAGGACTGGGCTAGCCAAGMGATGTTTTCTCCGTTTCCTGAGTCTTTGGGGTCTTTCCTCCCTGTTGGACATGCACGGAAGAGGTCTAGGGAGCATCCTAACAGAACCACCTCAACTGGCTCCTCTCGATGTGGAGGAGCAGCGGCTCTACTCCRAGTCTCTCTCAGATGACTCAACATCTCACCCTGTCTCTAAAGGAGAGTCCAGTTACCCTGCCAAGAACACTCATTTTAACTACCGGTACCTGCGATCTCGTTCTTCCAGTCACTACCAAGAGTTTGTGAGGGTAGGAACGTAGACCAACCAGCCAACAGAGCTTCACCTTGCAGCTCAGCTCTCTCTTCACCACAACAGACCCCCGCAGATCACACGATACTTAAAGTGCTGCATGAATCCATCTGTTGACCTCAAGCTCCATTTTGTCCTCACTCATGAACACGTTCCTTAAGTTCATTAGATTCCTCTACACGTGGTAGCACCTTACTGTCATGTTTTGGGAATATACAGTACAAGTTGTTTAGCATGTGTGGTATACACAAGATTAGGAGCTTCTGAGGTGTTTTGGAGTGTGTGTTTGTATACATGTTTTTKTTACCTGTTGGGGACAATTTTTGACCATTTTCCCTTTACACACAGCCTGGTGAGGACCCAGTGTTTCTTATGGGGACAAAAGCATGGACCCCATTAGGGGAAATACCGTTGATGGGTCAGGGGTTAGGTTTTGGGTCAGGTATGTACCTGTGAGGTTAAGGGGTCAGGACAGGGTTAGGTTATAGAAATGACTGGTAAATTAATGAAAGCCACTGCAAAGTCCCCATGAGGATAGAAGAGCAAACGTGTGTGTGTGTGTGTGTGTGTGTGTGTGTGTGTGTGTGTGTGTG